TATATGTGTGTGTGTGTGTTTCTGTGTATGTCTGTGTCTGTGTCTGTGTCTGTATGTATGTGTATATTTGTCTGTGTCTGTGTCTGTGTCTGTGTCTATATATATATTTATATATGTATTTCTACTGCACCGTACACAAGGATTTGCGTTCATTTTTTATGCACTATAACGGGATGTATTTTAATAATTTGTTCGTTGTATATTAGGTGCTGTGTTTTGTTTTTCTACCATATAACGAGTCGGACACTCTGCTCGACGGACTGTAGTGTTGTTCGCATGGACAGCTTATTCCCCTCATCCAATTATGAGCTGGAAGTATCTTGGGATCGTCTACTGGTTGTCACTTATTGTGTGCCCCATATGGGTTTAGTCTTAATCACTCAACCCTTTCTTATTTTCCTTAATATAGAAAAAAGGCCGCGCCCCCAAGGCCGACGCCTGCTAGGACGCAACCGGCGGCATCGTCTAGCACGGTAAGTCTATTCTGGGCCTGACATATGCATATTTTTTTGCTTTGTTTCTTTTCAAGAAACTACGATTGGTCTGCTAGTACCTTATTCTGCTGCTGTGCAGAGTTGGCTTCAAAGGGCACATTCTCTTGGCCTTTTGCTGAATGCTTATTATATTTGATTGCGAATTACCACAGGGGACAGCTGGAGGACCGAATGTTACTTTCACTGCCGGATTTGGGATGTTTCCTGGTCTGATGTCCATGCAATTCGTAAGTATTCTTGACAACTTGCCTTGTATTCATTTCATATATATCATTATTATGGGTGAGTTTGTAGTTGTATGTTTTTTTCAACATTTTTGTTAATTTAAGACCCTAATTGACACCTATATTTGTACAAATACAGGGATCAGTGCGCACAGAAAGTTTATTCGGCGGAGGCAACATTGACAGTCTGTCACTGGAGGATCAACAACAGTTCTATCTGTCACGCGCTGTGATGTGCTTTGGCCTATATATTTTATTACAACTTTGTTTATACTGAGGCTAGAAAATTACCAACCCACTCCAAGGCTTGCTAGCGATCACGCGTGTGAACAAGTCAACTATGGTGGATCACTATAGAGTGCGTCTGAGAATCTGGCCATCCGGATGAGTTAATTATAGTATAATGATGATGGTAGATAGGTAAAACAACCCCGGCAACTAGCGATGGGTGTATTGAAATTAAAGCCCAAGCTGAAATTTGGCACAGATTCTTCAAAATTATTGCGCGAAGCATGCTGGTCCTTGTTAGCTACAATCTATGTCTGTTATGTAGAGACAGGCTGTAGCTAATTTGCTTTGAAGAAAATCGCCCAAACTACTGAAATTTTATGTCGGTATCTCGACGCTTGTCGCGAGAATAACCTGTGCATTTGAAGAGGTGAATATAGTAGATTGAGAAGCGTGCAACAGCACGTCCTCAGGTGCGCCGAACAAGATGAATGACATTGATATATTGTTTACTGATACTCTGGCTCAACTATTTCATACCGCACAGTTTGTCTGGAATCCAATTCGGCCTGTGAATGATTGTAGTAGGATACTCAATCCAAATGCTCTTGCAACAGGAAGGCGACAAAATCGATATTTCGATTTGCCATGTTACTAAAATGACAGCACGCTATCTGAGAATAATTTCCGCATACTCATTCGAAGCACGCATCCATACTCACTCGAGGTATGCATCCTTGAAAGGACCTATTGAAAACTTCGACAGCTATTCACAAACATATCTATATATTGTTGCGCTTTATTTATGCAGCGCTATGCTAGATTTTGCACTACGCGAACAAGCCTACTCAGATCGGCAATTTCTGTCCGGCCACTCCTAGAGTGTGGTGTCATTCTGCAGTGCTGATATACTCGACCGACCGCGTAATTTTCTTTATTTTACTCGAATCGGTTGACCAGACTTGGGACCGGTTTGCCCTCGTAGAACTTCACTAGACCATTGGCCTTATCTGAGATGTTTTCAGGTGTGAAACCAAAGTGTACGAACAACTTCTTAAGAGGGCCGGAAGCTCCGAATGTCTTCATACAGTGCTGCGCGTGTGAGTATCTGTCCCAACCGAAACCGGAAAGGGCCTCTACAGCCAGCACGGGAACACCTTCGGGGAAGACAGTCGATTTGTACTCAGCGGATTGCTCCTCGAAAAGATCCATGCATGGCATAGATACAACTCGGGCACCTTCGCCAACCAACTGCGGAGGGAAGACGTAGGGAATGAAAGGGAAGACGTAGGGAATGAAAGGGAAGTCAGTAGTGCATATAGCGTGCTTGCTCAAGTAGCGGTTCAATGGGTAAAGTTGCTATCCAACAAAAGAGAGGTTGTGTATGCATGTGTGTGAGATATAATAGAAAGGGAAGAGACAGAAGAGCAAAGTATGTCTACGCACACTATATATCTGATTCGCGCTTCATCACACGAACACTTAGGCCAATAAATAGGCTTCTTACTTTAGCGGCATCGACGCACAGAGGCACTTCAGAACCGCTAGCTACCAAGATGACCTTGGGCTTCTCACAATTCACAAGCGTGTAAGCGCCCTTGAAGACCTTGTCAACGGTGGATCCGTCTTGTTGGGGTAGTCCTTGTCGACTAAATACCAGCACGGAGGGTCTGTGTCCGTTCTCCATCGCCACGGCGTACGCACCGGCCGTCTCGTTACCGTCACATGGTCGGATAGCCAGACAATTAGGCATGGAACGGCATAGCGCCAGAGCGTTGATAGGCTGATGGGTGGGACCATCCTCTCCTAGGCCGATGGAGTCGTGTGTCATGATGTAAAGCACACGCAGGTGACTGAGCGCACTCAGGCGCACAGAAGGCAGCATGTACTGGATGAAGTTGAAGAAGGTCGCGCCGAAGGGCACGAGACCTCCGTAGGCGGCTAGACCGTTGCAGATAGCGGCCATACCGTGCTCACGTACACCAAATCGGAAGTATCTACCTTCGTACGAGCCGTGCTGGAAGTCACTGGAACACTTGAGCTGTGTCAAGTTACTTGGGGTCAGATCGGCGGATCCTCCCACTAGCTCGGGCAGAGCCTCGGCGATGGCGTTCAGCACCTTCTCAGAAGTTTGACGGGACGCTAGCGCAGGGTCTTCCGATGTCCAGGTGGGCAAGCACTTGCGCCAGTCCTCGGGTAGCTTACCAGACAGTCGTCGGGCCAACTCAACGGCTTTAGCGGGCTCGGCAATCTTGTACTGCTCGAAACGGCCCTTCCACTCGGCGTGTGCGGCGGCTCCTTTGGCTCCGGCCTCACGGAACACGGCCAGAGCATCGCTAGGTACAACAAACTTATCGTCTCCGTTGAAACCGAATTTTTCCTTCACTTGCTTGAGATCGTCGGGCTTTAGAGGTGCTCCGTGGACGCCGTGTGTACCCTGGATTCCAGAACCGAATCCGATAGTGGTCCTACAAAGAAGAAAAGCATCATTTAGTGGATTTGATATTTGTATTTGAAATGATAGAACCCGCCCTTATGTACACAGGTGACAGACCATCATTTAGTCCACCGCGCAATGTTTAGCCGCCCGACAGTTATATTTATGGTGCGTTGACAAGCGACATTTATCTGGCTGTACAGTGTATGTACCTATCACGCAGACTTTCCGAATTACAGTGCCATGACACAATGAAGGGTGCGGTGGAGAGTATATGCTTACAACCACACGCCAATCATGATGCAAATAGTAACCCAATATATATAAGACCATAAAGGCTAAAACTATCCATATCCTTGTCTTATATCTATTACTGCACGCTTTGTTGTGCGTGCATTCACGCACTCACACACTCACTGACAAGTATCTGCCACTGCATAATCTGCGTGACTGCTAATTGTCGAGGCGCATACTTGCAAGAGATGAGAGTGGGTTTGTCCTTGCTCAGTTTTGCCTTCTCAATAGCAGCCTCTAAGTCGGTGATATCCGAGTCGAGACCGTCAACTGTGATGGTTTCCCAGCCGTAAGATTCAAAACGCTTGGGTACATCCTCCGTGAATGAAAGACTGGTGTCACCATCGATAGTGATACTGTTATCGTCGTAAAGAACGATGAGGTTACCTGCAAGTGTGCATCGGACACGCAGTTAGATCAACATAGATATAATGTGTGGTAGATGCAATACACCTGATAGTCCAGCATTAAATGAAATACACCTCACAATCCATCATACATAAGATATCTGATGAACTGCAATAGAAAATGACAGATCACGCACAGAAAACAAATAAAGACTACAGCCGCTGCAGTGGTCACTATTCCACCTTTCAAATCTAAATCCGGTTACTCTGAACATCCAAAATTGAACATTGAAAATTACATACCTAGCTTCAAGTGTCCAGCCAAAGAGCAAGCCTCAGAACTGACACCTTCCTGGTGACAACCATCACCCATGATCACGTACACGGTGTTGTCGATCAGATCGGGGAAATCGGACGTGTTGAAGGTAGCAGCCATGTGCTTCTCAGCCATAGCCAAACCAACAGCGTTGGCCACACCTTGACCGAGAGGTCCTGTGGTCACCTCAATACCAGGCGTATCATCACGCTCGGGGTGTCCTGGGGTCCTAGATAGGGTAGGGTTAGAAAGTTGTTATATGAGTTGTGAACAAACTTCATCGAGAAAAAATAGCTTGAGGTTGAAGATATATATAAAAAGCGCGAAATAACGTGTCCAGAGATAGCATAGTACTGACTTATATATCTATAAGGGCAGGGGTATCGGAGGTGTACAAGCACGATAACGTGAGGTTCGACTGTTTACGAAGTGTCACGAACGACAAATACTTGCAAAACATGATTGAAAGCGTCAGAGAAAATACATACTTGCTGCCGATTTGACGGAAATTCTTCAAATCTTCCATTGAGAGGTCATATCCTGTTAAGTGCAGCATAGCATATTGTAGTGCACATGCATGACCGTTGGATAGGACAAACCGATCACGGTTGAGCTGCGTAGTCAAGGGGGGAAACGTAAAGTATAAGTAACAATTGTTTGCGTAACAATTGTCGAACGCGACCTTGCAAGTTTTGAGGTGTAGTGCAAATTTAGATGCAATAATATTGAGGTGCATGCGAAACATTCGATATATTGCGAGTGTATCGGAAATATTCGCTTATATGCGATCACAAACTCTAAACCACAAGTTATTAGTATATCTTTTTGACATCTACATACCCATGAGGGGTCCTGGGGATCGTAAGACATGAATTTAGTCCATAGAAGGTATGCCAAAGGCGCACATCCCATAGGAGCTCCTGGGTGACCAGAATTGGCCGCCGAGGGCATGTCAGCACTCAGGCATCGTATAGCGTTTATGCAGGTCTGATCCTTGTCCATGTCGTTTTTGGCCTTCTTGGGCGTCTGTGAAGATGATTGTCTGGTGGGGCGCTTTGACATAATTTTGATATTCTTGGTCTTATATATAAGTCCACGCTTTGATGCTTATATATTCTTGTACAAAAAGAGATACAAGGTTATGCCGTGTCGTTAGCACCAGCCCTCGTACTTTTAAGGATTTCTGTTCTGTTTATTTTTTAAAAATATCTTCAGCACCAGCACGGCAGCACAGCTGCATCTGTGGGAACTTCAGAAGTTTACGTGTCTCTCAGAGGCTCTCAGTCACAGTGGCGACTGGCGAACGAACACACTGTCCAAATTTCCGATAAAATATCTGCGGGACCGAAAAACTGTCAAAACTCTCACGCGTCGCGAGGTTGTTGTTATTTTACTGGCTCACATGACTCATCAGTCAGTAGCGATTCACAGATTCAGAGCCACACAGAAAGCGAAAAAGAGAACTCAGGACAGTACTCCTTTATATGGAAATCTTGTATTTTCACAAGTTATACATATTATAATAAATAAAATAGCTCATTTAAATATTTCCCATATATATATAAATATTAAAAACACTATTTACGTATATAATACAAACTAGAAGAGAAGGGAAAAATAAATAACACAACAAGAAGTGTGAGAATGTAAAAATAGTAAAAAATAAAATACATGGACCTCGACTCCTCTCTACAACAAGATAGTGTGAGAGAGAGAGAGGTGATACAATGTTGTACATAGAGCGAAACTTGATTTCCGCTCGAGACCCAAATCCTGAGGGCAGAGCCCAGAGCCCAGAGCCTAGAGGCCATGGTAAATATATATATATATATATAATATAAATTTATTTCTACATATATCATATACATATTTGTTCAATTAAATTCTCGGAGGCTATGCCGCTGTGCGGCTATGGTCATACCGTCATAGCCTTCTAAAATACAGATATGGTGTATTTTTAGAATAAATACTGTTCGTCGTGCGCGTTCTCGCTTTACGGCCCAAGCCCGGCAACTCGGCAAGGGCCAAGACGTCAAGCTCAAATTGCCCATGCGGAGAATGACCAAGTAGTGCAGTGGACATTGTGAGTCTGTGACTGGAGTCTGGACTCATTGAGGACTCTTTTTTTTTAAAGTCAGTAGATGTATGGCGTATGCCCAACGTTCTATTATAAATCGGGGGGTTTTTTACACGATGAAAAACAAATATGTATTGTATTTAGTTCATCAAATATTACATAAATAATATTTAAAAAAGCATAGGCTGATTGAACAATAAAAGTGCCGGACAAGTCTGGGGTTTTTTAGGAATAATCTGAAAGACTTAGTCCCACAAGCTGGTCCGAAACCCGAAAATGAACCCCCGGCCGAACGGAATTGAGTGAGACTGAGATATCAAGACAAAATTGAAAAAATACAATCCCAGATGGGCCCATATTGCCCCAGAAGCCCTGACGAATGAAAATTCTGAGGGACTCGATTTCAGAGTGAAAATCTCAACCACTGTACGAGTCTACAATCTAAATTATATTTTAATGAAAAATACTCTACAGAGCTGCTCAGCCTTTCGAAAACATTTAGAAGAAGGATATAATTTATTGATTTTTTAGACTTTTTTTATTCTGCTGTTATTTTAGTACATATTTATTTTGCTTTTTAAAATTTCGATGAGATTTCGGCACTTGCCACCTGTACTAATTGGACTTGTCTAAAACCCATGGGGTGTTGGGCCTTGGGGCTTGGGCCTTGGAGCTTGGGCATTGGGGCATTGGGCCCTTGGCAGTATTCAGCATTTGGCACTGGGCAAACGCAGAAATTCCGCAGTTAAAAAAAATCAAAAATTTATAATAAACAGCCTTCTTATTCAATAAAAAACTTACAGAGTCATGTGTACTACTTTTGTTTTATCGTAAGAGTCTTTCTATTGACTTATTATAACCACTCTTGCCTTTTTCATTGCACATATTTAAAATATAACCTAAATAGGCTTAGTTTAAATTTAGAACATACAATGTAGTGCGCGAATTGAGTAAAGTCGAAGCACAAAATTTTTCTGCAGCAAAACCACCTTCTTAGGTATAAAAGCCTGGTTTTATAATACACAGTCTACTACGTGTTGTTGACTCGGTAGAGTAGAAATACGGCCTCCGGTCAGTCTAAAATATCAAGAACAAATGAGATAACACAATTGTTCTTATTTGTATTTAATATAATTTAATACAAGTTCTTTAAGTGTTCTAAATTCACTTTGATGGCACCAATAGCCTGAGTATTTGGTATGACTCATTTACTTGGACTTGTTTGAGACGATAGTGGATGTAGGATATTATAAACTAAATTTTATAATCTCTAAACTACTACTTACAGGTTTTGGTCTTCCCGCCAATCTCCAAAATTCAATAAGTCTTTTTCTTTTTTTAACTTCTGCAGATGGAACTTTATTTATATTAGCTAATGTATTAACTTGACTTACGTTTTACAAATTAGCCATGTGGTCATGAACACTTAGTACTTCTAGTGAAAATTATTCAATAAAGAACAGCTAGAGGTACGTCCTGTGTGATCGAAGATATTAAGGCTCTTACCAAGAGGCAGTCCCAAAGATTCTTACACAAGCTACCACTGCTAAATCCTAACTGACCTAAATTGTTTCTTAGATTATATAACATAGTTTGAAACATAGAAATATACATCGAAGTATGCATATTTTTCAGTTGTTTAGTAGTTACCAAAGTATACTGCTTCTAAACTGTCTAACGATTGTTTACTATCCAGCGACAGGACTGTAAGTATTCTATACTACCTTATATTGGCTAATACTATGGCTAATACTACCCTAAAGTTAGCTACACGCTAGTTACTATCCCTAGACTGTAATTTCATCCATGTTTACCTCCAATTTAAAACAATGTTGGTGTTGTAAGTACCGAACAGTTCGGTAATGTTCCTGGGCGTTGATAAGAGTGCGAGAACTTCTCAGTGTGGACGATAACTGATGTGTGTAAAAACTAATAAGTTTGAAACGTTCCAAGTTGTATTGTCCGGTTTGTTGGCGAATGGCCGCGCAGGCTCGAAAGAAGAGGGTAATAAGAGCTGGAAGTTGGTAGATGACGATATATATTGAATAGACTTGTAGGCTCAAAATTAAGTACAGACACGATTTGATTGTCGGCTGGATACTCGAGAAAATCCTTTGGAGATAGTATATATACATGGTTTAGTTCATTCAAGAAGTTCTTTCTGCTGTTCACCGTTACATTGTGTTTTGAGTCGATCTAAGATTACAAGACTTTATTAATTTTCCTATTTTTGAGATATTACTATGGCTAAAGAAAATTCTAAAGGCAAGGGAGCCGCCAGCTCTGTGGACAAAGTACCCTGGACGGACATTTAGGACTGGACCAGAGGGCCCGACCTACAAGTGGAATTTTAGGTCCGTACCAGAGGACCGGATCTAAGTAGGATATTTCAGGACCGTGCTCAGAGGTACCGGACTTATTATTAAGACAGAGAATTTTATGTGAAAGATTGATGACTCAAAATTTGTCATCATAATTTAGTAACGAGGAGACGAAAAACAAAGATATGGGTATTTTTTTTGTTAGAGCAAATCTCAATCCACAGAGGAACGTGATAATAAATACAGCAGACTAGCCGATTGTAAAAGCCGGGCCTCCACGTTAGACTCTATGTAATAAAGGTATTCTTAAGCAGTGCGTAAACTATAAATGTACTCTTAATAGTACGAGGAACTTAAGTTTTCTAAATGGATTTTAATGGTTTTATTAATAAATACCTTTTCCATTTTACATATCAGATATTTGGACAAGGCCATTAAAAGGTCCCGGTAAAATACCAAACATAAGATTTGGTCTAGTTCTATTAATAGATAAACCCAAATCTATTTATATCTCAATAGCTCAACCGAAAATAGGTTTCTAGGGACAATTAATGTTAGCTAATTTATCCTCCGATCAGCCAACCAGATGTGCCAGTCTGATGAAGGCTAAGTCAGTAATTCTTGATAAATGACAAGTTATTGGTTAATGCAATAGCTAAGGATATCAAGAAGTATTTTTTTCTTTTTCTAAAATAGGATTTTATGAGTATCTCGGATTCGCCCTAACGAAACGTACTGTAGTTTCTAATAGAGCGACAACGTAACACTAAAAAATCCCTTCGGCGAAAACAATACTGAGAGGATTATATAGAGAGGCAATGTCTCAGCCTCACAATCCCTCAGAGTGTTACTGGTTTCACGAGGTATACCTAACTTTACTAAAAGTCACATTTCGTTTATTTACTTTGAATTTCACGATACTTAGAATTTAACTACGCGTTCTATTACTCTAAAGCGTTAGTATTGTAAACTTCGATGGAAATTACTAGGTTTCAAACTATATTAAACTAAAATACAATTTAGTCAGTTAGGATTTAGCAGTGGTAGCTTGTGTAATAATGATCGGGACTGCCTCTTGTTAAGAGCCTAAATGTCCTCGATCACACAGGGCGTACCTCTAGCTGTTCTTTATTGAATAATTTTCACTAGAAGTACTAAGTGTTCATGACCACATGCCTAATTTGTAGATAGACATAATAACGTAAGTCACGTTAATACATTAGCTGATATAAATAAAGTTCCATTTGAATAAAAGTTAAAAATATAAAAAGACTTATTGGATTTTGGAGATTGGCGGGAGGACCAAAATCTATAAGTAGTAGTTCGGAGATTATAAAATTTAGTTTATAATATCCTACATCTACTAATGTCTCAAATAGGTCCAAGTAGATGAGTCATACCAAATACTCAGGCTATTGGAGCCATCAAAGTGAATTTAGAACACTTTGGAAATATTGGAAAAAGAGCTTGTATTAAATTATTTAAAATACAAATAAAAACCAATGTATTATCTCAATTGATCTTGATATTTTAGACTGACC